TGTACATATATAGTATAAAAAGTTAAAATGTCAACGTGTATTTTTGTCTGAGTCATTAGTGGAAGTAAACAAGAAATATAAGTATCCCTGTACTTCATGTAAAGTACTTTTAATTATTTGTGTTCGATAATTATTCTCACTATATATAAAATAGTCCTCTTTTTTTTTAAGCAAGGAAACTAGAAAATTAATAATACGGACTGAGATACATATAAGTTTTTTATAATACTTATTTCAAACTAACGACGGTAGCTGACTAGTGCATGAGAAATGCTTTTCAAGGGTATCGAGTCCCCCAGTGGCAGAACGGTATGTCTGCGGACTTACAACGCTAGAAACCGGCTTTCGATACCCGTGGTGGGCAGAGCACAGATAGCCCATTGTGTAGCTTTGTGCTTAACTTCAAACAAACAGGGGTATCGAGGGATTGTTCTTTGTTATTAAGCACAAAACTACAAAAAAGGGTTCTGCCCACCACCGGTATAGAAACCCCGTTTCTAGTGGTATAAGTCCGCAGTCATACCACTGGGGGCGTATCAAGGGGAGTCAGACTCATTTTATTAGGAAAGTTTAGCGAAATTATAGAATAGCTTTAGAGGATAAAAACAGGAATCGCGAGATTGATCATGAACTATAGTGTGTTAATGTTATTTCTGGTTTCACGTATTTATAAAAACCAAAATACAAACAACCAGTTCATTACTGTTTATTTGTGGAAACTACTCTTCTTGTAATAACATATACATATAATTAATGATGTTTTTGTTTGTAGTTGAGCGCAAAGTTACACAATGGGATATCTGTGGTGTGCCAACTACGGGCATTTAAACCCGAATTGTAGTGTTATAAGCTCACAATGACCACTGGGGTCTGAAACTGTGATCTTAAGTAAAAAAAAAATATTCTATTGGTAGCTTACTTTCTTTTTTGTTAAGCTACAAGCTGACTTATAATGAATTGTTAACGTAACGTCACGCGATGTTGAAACACCTAAAGTATTTTGTGTTATTAATCATTCACACTTCACAACCGTACGAGGCCTGACGTATTTACTTTACTTTGTTCTCCCAGGCACAGTACCGACAAGGCGTGATTTCAGCGAAACTAGTCTACAACAATGAGTAGCATATCAAAGAAAATATTAGGCCTCTACGTCATTCTTTCCATACTTAATTTACACACTTTGATGTATAATATTCATAATTAAATAAACTGTAAACGCCTGAAATTTATATTCTTATGGTTTATTTTTACTTTTTATCACAAATCTAATACTTTTTAATGTATATTTGTTATAAAAAGTCGACTTTTACTTGTTATATTGACAAACAAATCCCTGCGTCAGAAGGTTTTTTTTTTTTACTTGGGTAGAAGGTAGGGGTTTTCCTCCTTTATTTGTTTTTAGTGTATGCTTATTACAGATGTATTACTTTTAAATATATATTTTATATTTTCGAAAACTTTTGGTGTAAGTGTTACATTTTAAAGATATATATTCCTATATAGGTTGCGAGATATATTTTTTTTATCGATATGTAAGTTATGAGATCTATTTTTCTAGCGTAGTATAATTATTCTTTCAAAGTTGTTTGTTTGTTGTTAAGCAAAAAGCTTCACAAGGGGATATCTGTGCTGTGCCCACCAAAGTCTTTTAAATTACACAACGAGATTCGTTTCTAATATACTAAAAAATTAAAATATTTAGTATTAATATTTAAATACTTGTTTGTTTGTTTCAGTGCAAATCCACATTGGGCTCTCTGGGTGGAACAGCAATAAGTTTACGGATTTACAACGCTAAAAATCCTGGGTTCGATTCCCTGTAGTACACAAAGGGGGGGGGGGACATTTAAAACTCGTGATTTTGTTTCACCACAAAATTTTTTCAATTATTTTACATCTAAGAATATGTGAAGAAAAATCTTTATTTAGTGAAAGTTTCTTTTAGATAAATTTATTGAAGGCAACAAATACAGTATACAAGGACACATATCACAGTGATGTACACAATCGAAACCTGTATTCTTATTTATAAAAATATCAGAAAAATAGATTATGCTTTTATTATGTTATATAAATGTAAACAATGCATGAATGAGAGAGTCAGTATTAATTCGTTCACATAAAATAAATTAAAAGCTTATGCTACCAGTATTCATTTGAACAAACAGGTTTAGGATTCTAAGACAATGATTTATATGGCACATGTAGCAACCACTTCTTGAATGTCTGGTGCTGTAAGTATTCAGTTTTATTCCTTTCAACTGAAATTCACCATCAGTAGCTACATCAAGCTTTTAACTTTGTGCACAGGATATCTGAAGAACCTCCCATTTTCTATAAAGTTGAAAAATACTTGAATATCTCATTATGATTTCTCTATTTTTCCCAACTTTTTTTAAGGGGTTCCGATGAAAGTTTTTCTTTCTGGTTTACTGTACGTGAACGGAAAGAACCAATTCATTGCCCTAGCAAACTTCCAACAGTCTTGTAGTACAGAATATCTGCCATCATTATCTGTGGGATAACCAATAACATAATATTAACAAAGTTTCATATGAAAGTCATCACCTAGATAGTGTACAGTTTTGAGAGATTCACAAAAAATAGTTATTTTCGTTAGCTACAAAAAACATCATACGTCGTAATGCTAGCTTTATGTAGTTGTTAGAAAAACTTATAAACCAGTAAATGATTAATAGGTTCACTGGAAAAAAAAACATTCACAATTTTTTATACTACATAATGATGATTGGGGAGTAGTGTATATTTATTATGTTTAAATCAAATGACCTGTATCTTTAGGTTAAAAAGTTAACTTTTATACTACATAATGATGATTGGGGAGTAGTGTATATCTATTATGTTTAAATCAAATGACCTGTATCTTTAGGTTAAAAAGTTAACTTTTACACCTTCGTAAGGAGTTATCTTCAAGGGTTTCATTGTAAGTAAAGCTCATCATTAAGACTTAAAACAAAAACGTTGGACCAATAAAATACTTTTAAAACGTCTTTGGACTTACAAGTCATTTGATTCAGAAAAAAAACCATCTAAAGGCCGTCTGTTCACAAGACGCAAACTAAAAAAAGGTTTTATTTAGGCATGTCAACTTACCATTTATTATCTGTTACCCAAAGAATAACATATTTATCTTGAAATGATAAACATTAACAAGAGTACTGAAACAACGTTGATAGGAGTTGAACTAGCGAACTTTCATTATCTGTTCTCATGTATATTAAGTAGTTCGCACTTTGGTCTAGTAAGTTTAAATACTCTTTTCAATAAGTAATTGAAAACTGGTTAATCTCTCCCTTACCACGAAGGAAATATTTATAGTTCTCAAGCTCAAACTACTAACTTAATATTCTAACAAAATAAATGATTTTTTCCTATGTTACAACTATCACACAAGGAAATGTCCTTATGTTACAACTATCACACAAGGGAATGACCCTATATCACAACGATCACACAAGGAAATGTCCCTATATCACAACGATCACACAAGGAAATGTCCCTATATCACAACGATCACACAAGGAAATGTCCCTATGTTACAACTATCACACAAGGAAATGTCCCTATGTTACAACTATCACACAAGGAAATGTCCTTATGTTACAACTATCACACAAGGGAATGACTGTATATTACAACCATCACACAAGGAAATGTCCTTATATCACAACTCACACAAGGAAATGTCCCTATATCACAACGATCACACAAGGAAATGTCCCTATGTTACAAATAAGTTGAAAATGGTGAGAATAATTTACCAAGAAGGTAATAAAAAAACAAGGAAATATAATTTTATTGTTTGTTACATTTTTAGAAGTTTACCTATCCGAGAAAGAAAGCTTGGAGTCTCGACGAGTTTCAAAACACTTATTTCTGAAAACAAAAGTGATTTCTTCACTTGCCATGGCCAGGGACTTATCCTGAAAAACAAACAAAATAGTTAGCAATTAGCATGCCTGATAAACTATATTACACTATTATAGTTTTGTAAAAAATATTTCAAAATAACTAAAATATTACACGCACATTCACGTAACCCAGAGATGTTGGAAACAGGGTAGATTTAGAAATAGAAAATGTAACCACTGAATCATTAGTTTATGTCTGCAAACTCCCAATGACTTACTTCAAAGGTATCAGGATCTAGTGGTCCTGGAATATGGTCCCACTTTAAAAGATCAGCCATACTTGTATGCTATAAGAGATGAATAATGTGTTTGGAGTAAAAAAAAAAAAAATCACCAACGTCCTATACACAGTCAAAACAATACATTAATAAAAAAAAGTGATTTTTGAAGTTACGTTTTCTACTTCGTTAAGAAACAACCTTCAAATAAAGATTGGAAAAGAAATAAAAAGAAAACAAAGCTAAAAGTAGGAGAGTTCACATGTAAATGATCTAAAATAAAGTTTAAATTCACTTCTACGAAATCACACCAAACTTATACGGATACAAGTTTCAATACTTTCATGCGTTCCCTTCAGTCTAACACTTATTTCTCATTTTAAAAGAATGAATGAAATTAAGTCATGGGAAAACGATTTTCTAATTTTAGAGAAATGGCTAAAATAAAAAAATAAAATAATAAATTTCATACATTTTGAACAAAAATAAAACTAACATACGCTGAACCTCTTGCCTTATGGATACTCTGAATATGATGTCTTATGGACACTCTGAACCTGTTGCCTTATGGATACTCTCAATCTGTTGACTTATGAATAACTCTGAATCTGATGACTTATGGATACTCTGAATACATTAACTTATGGATACTCTGAATCTGATAACTTACATACACTCTGAATCTGATGACTTATGGATACTCTGAATACATTAACTTATGGATACTCTGAATCTGATAACTTACATACACTCTGAATCTTATGACTTATGGATACTCTGAATCTTATGACTTATGGATACTCTGAATCTGATAACTTACATACACTCTGAATTTGATAACTTACAAACGTTCTGTATATTTTTAACTTACCTTGACCAAAGACACTTGCTTACTCACGCCTAGCTGACATAATCTTTCCTGATGTGAAGTATCATCTTTTAAGACGGTCTCGGATGGACTTTCAGTATCACAGCAAGTACATCCAAGTAGATCATGGGTGGTGGAGGTGGAAGATTTCTGAAGACTGAAGAGATCCTAAGCAGAAAGACATTTAACACATTCATGTTTTAAAACAAGAGATAATAACTTCACATTTTTTCAGTCAGAACTTACAAAAAATTTACAGTGTTTGAAGTTCAATGAAGAGAACAGATCAAAAAATAAAAACATGTACAGAAAACTAAATGTACGAGTGGGCAACATATGGAGTTTCTCTCTTTCACGTGTTCATATTTCAAACGGTGCAAATACAAATGTAAACCAGAGAGGCACTCAGCAGAGTGCATACCTTTGCCACGCAGCGTTGATCATATTCGGCCCTCAAAAAAATACGAGTGCATATGTCTGTCATTATCAACAAACAATAATCATTTTTGGCAGGGCAATGAGGAATAATATTCTACATATTTTCACCAAGTTTCATCAAAATCTGATCATTTTTAACTGAGTTATAGAGCAAATATAGTATGAAAAATTTATCCCCATGCTAACATTTGGGGATTTTTTTGATTTTCATGATCTTGACCCTCCAAAAGCTCCAGAGGTGAAAACACAATGTCCGTTACTTTTGGTGGCAGAGGTAAATATGTTCAGTGACAATCAAGAAAGAATGGAGAAATGACTTAGTTACAGAGGACAAAATATGAGTTTATGTTAAAACTTTACATGAGATGTACTGTTTCCACTTCAAAATCTCAGCTCCTAATGAGTGCAATAGTAAGTTCCAATACACATTAATAAGTGTGTATTCATACATCACGTGTAAGTACAAAAACAAAACCTTGAGGTCTTCCTTAGAGAACTGTACTTTGCAAGCATCTTTGGAATCAACTACTTTACCACTCAGACCTTGTTTGGTGACCTGACGTTGATAAATCTTCTCCTCAATAGTACCCTAGAAGTAAAATTAATAATAAATAATGAACCCATTGTTATTCAACCAAATTCATAACAACAACAACTACAATTTAGTGAAAATGTATTCATTATAATTTCATCTTTCTGACGACAATTTATTAGTTTTAAACAGATTTTGAATTCAATATATTGCAACTCATACTTCATGTTAAGTTTAATAAAATTCTTCTTTTAGATCTGGAGAGTGCAGCAGTTTATAGTAACACAGAAAGCTGATGTAAATCAGAGCCACCTCCTGGCTGGGTAAGTGCTGCCATCTAGTGGAGGGGTTATGATCATACAGTACTTTACCATGTTGTTTTTTCATAGAGAGATCTAATAATTAAAGTTAAAATAATGTAAATTTGCACATGTCTCTCACACTTATGTTTTGTTTGTTTGTAATTGAGCACAAAGCTACACAATGGGCTACCAATCCCGCTTTCAAACGTTGTAAGTCCGCAGACATATCACAGTGCCACTGGGGGGCCACACATTTATGAAGGACTAAAGTTGAAGAAGGGTTTGATTGCCTTTCATCATCAAAAAAAACAACAACAAAAGGAATCACAAGTCTCACATGACGTAATTTTTTTTTTTTAATTTGGGATGTCTCAAGAAACAAGGGGAATACTTGTAGTTGATAAATATGATGTATTATTTTGGACAGAATTATGTTCCCCCTAGTAAGTAACATCACTTAGTTAATAAATGAATCTTTATTATTACATTAAAATACATTAAAAAAGTAATTGTTCAAAAACAAAAGTTTAATATCACTCCTTTTTTCATTCAACCAACACCAGTAACAACAACAACAACCCCCCCCCCCCACACTACTGATAGAAATAACGCATTTTAACTTATTCCACCCAAAATATTCTCTGAAAAATTACTTAAAAATTTTTTTTTCCAACTCACTGTAGTAAGTAACCTGTACACATGAACTTGACGTTTCTGTCCATCACGCCAAACACGAGCCATGGCTTGAAGATCATTAGCTGGATTCCAGTCAATATCGTACAAGAGGATACGAGAAGCTCCAATCAGATTTAAACCAGTCCCCCCTGCCTTTGAACTGAGGAGAAAGACGGCTGCAACAAAAGAAATAAAATTATCCTTTTCATTACTTTCTGTGCGCAGTAATCATATAATAAAAGTATTAAAGTTTTCCTTACAGAGTTTTTAAGAGATCATTTCTTAAGCTCTTATTTTCAGTTTACAAAAATTAAAACTTCCAAGTTACACACATTAATAGATGTGTGAAAAATATGGTAAAACATGCAAAATAATCTGAAGGACAAAGTTATGTTTCATCTTTCAGACATAAGAAATTTATAAATCACAAAGAACAAACTTCTTTTACATTTAAATAATACCACACAAATTTCCAAAAATATGCGACTGCTAGCATTAACACTCGATAAGCCTAAATAAATAATAAAAAACCATCATAAAGCAGCACTATGTGAGGATAAAATAAGGAAGAAACACCCGAAAAAAAAAAAAAATTACTTCCAAGTTGTATAGGATTTTAAAAAGCACCTTTTATTTAGTAAGCTTTAAAGATAATATTTAAAATTATTAATGCTCTTCTTGAGGATAGATTAACTTAAAAAACAACAACAAGAAAGAGTCTCTATATGTTAGACAAAAATTCTTAGTCTAGGTTTTTGACAGAACATATATGTTTTTCATATTTTATGATGAAAAACATGATTGAAAAATAACCGTTAGCTCTGGAAACTTCTATTAATATAAAGTAATTTGCTATTATTTGATACTCGTGTAGATGACGTATTTTTAGTGTACTAAATTTGTTATCACGTTAGATTTTTTCTAGGTTTTGCTGATCAATACACAAGCTTATTGATAATTTAACGAACTTAAAATAAAATCACAAATTTACTGTTTTACTTAAAAAAATAACTTGATTATTGATATTAGTGTCTTCTCCTGAAATTATTTTTATTTACAGCACAAGTAAATTTAAGACTCGACTTGGGAATTTTTCTTCGGTATCATAATTATATCAGTAAATGCAATTTTGTTTACCAAAACATATTCTATTGTACGGCACACGGTGGTAGATGATCGACGAGTCACTAGAACATTTAAACTAATTATGTGCTGTTCCACTGGGCAGTAAAACTCTTATTGTTAACAGTAATTTTAATTTCACCAAATAAAGAAATACATTAAAAGTTAAGCCAATAAGGGTATAGAAAAACAAGAGGGAATCCTCAATAGTTGTGGCACTTGAAATTCTTTTAGGCAGCATTAAAGTAAATTAATCTACAAGTCCATTTTTTCCTTTTTATTAGTTATATTTTTGTGCACCAGGGACACCAAGCGTAGGGTGTGCGTATACCCGGAATCGATTTTCTTACTCATCAGGATCTCTACCAGCCTACCCTCAAATTGAAATTCTTTTAGGCACGATTCAATTAAATTAATTTAGGAGACCTTGGGCAAGGTAAAATATATAAACTAAAAGGGTTTGACCTCCCGAGTCTAAAACTGTAATAAGATCTCAAATCGGTCAAGAGATGATGAAGCTATGTGCTAAAAGTCTGTACTTGGGAAAAAAACTCAGAACCATTCTATGAACCTTTATCCCGAGACTAAAAATTCAGTACTGGTACATTAGATGGTTGTAAGTTTACAAAACTATATGTCATACTGAGCTTATTGATCTCGTTGTATGTCTGAAATAAACGAAAAGTAAAAGAGGATAACTCCTAGATTTACAAATATCTGTACATAAAAGATATAGATTATCCGGTGTACGTGCAGAAAAGCTACGTGTTTCAAGATAACAAAGAATTCTTTCAGACAAGAAAATAAACAGGAATTACAAGACAATTTCTTACAGTGGTTTGAATACGGAGCATTGAAAGAGTCAACAAGCTCTTGCCTGTTCGCGGAGGGCGTAGAACCATCGAGTCGCAGAAAGGAATAACCATACTGGACACACATCTGCTGCAATATATCCAGTGTCTAAAGAACAATATAAACTACTGTGGATAAAAGAAATAGCTAATAAAAGTATTACATCTGTTTTGTAATCTGAAATCTTTTTTTTTTTTATATGTTGAAGGCCTATAATAATGGTAGAATTATCAACATCCTGATAATAAATTAACTTTTATTAATGCTGTAAAATAAAAAAAAAACCTGATTATGTATAAAGAAAGATAACAAAAACCAAACAATGAAATATTGTGTTGATTTTCAAGACTTTTTCTCATACTTATGTAATCACGCTGTCCTCACACCAGAAAGTCGATTTACTTGAGATATAAAAAAACGTTTTGGTAATATAAAAAATGAACAAGAAGTTTTATTCTGATGCTTAACATTTGTTTTTTTTTTCTGTTTTGAAAATAAATGTTTGAATTTTACAGCCACCTACCAAATATAATATGTAACATGTGAACAAAAATATACATTAAAGAACTCTGACAGAAACTTGTAATTGGCAAGTTTGATTTAAACCAAAAACTATTTGTTTATAAGTAATTTTCTTTACAAATAATAGCATGAATTAAAATTAAACTATTATAATAATTATCTGTTTTGTTGTATTCAAGAATGGTGCCAGCTTCTTCCTGGTGTGGGGGTCGAGGCGGGCCAGACAAATATTGAGAGGGCCGCACTCTACATTTTGTGGGCTCACATAATGTAGTATTTTGGAAGTGAACCAGTTTTAACATTAAGTAATGTTCGTTTGATGCAGGAATTATGGGGGAGGTGAAGGCATATCTTGGGGTAGCTTCAGCCCCAGTAAACCCCCCTCTTACTGCTACTCCAGCTTGCATTTCGTTTTATATTTAAGATTTCCTGTAGTCAAGTTTATATAGTTTTATATAAATATAAAGAAAAATACAATGACAAGCACATTTCAATGTTTCAAAATTACAAAAAACAAAGTCATGTAATAAAATTTAACTGGTATTTATTTATTTTCTCAAAACTTGTTTTCGTCTAGCCATGGCTTGGTATTGAGCTGCGCATACCGTATGGAACTAATGTTAACAAATAATACATGTCTGAAATGACAAGAACTGTGATTAAGAGATAAGAATATCAAGCATGAGATCTTCGTTAATATTTGCACTTGTTGAACATCTGTAAGAAAATGGGTATGACAGCCCACAATCCATGAAAATACTTCCAACCTACAGCCCTGAATGCTACTACTATTTATAAGTAGTTGCCGGGAATACGAGTTTTTTGTTCAAGTACCCGAAAACAAATGTATTATACTGTTAGTAAGGGATACATCGACCACTTGTGACCTTTCATGCCACATTTTTTAAAACACAGATTATTTCCTTATATAAACATGAATAGCTGTACCTATGTTTCTCCCATTAATTGTAATATTCAAAAAAATGCCCTTGCAATTATAAAAGCTAAGGTATTCAATTTTAAAAAAGCTGTACCTAAAGTGCTGTAATATCCAGGCCATTTTCTGCCTGCTTTTAAAGCTGCAAAACTAGGTAAGAACAAAATATGTCTATAAATTACCTTGGTGAAACAAGAAACTAAAACAATCTTTTCGTTGTTTCCCGAAGAATTCAGGCTATACATAAGGTGTGAGAGTACTCTAAGTTTCCCCGAGTTCTCTTCAAAAGAGTGTTGTTCAAAGTCAGCTGGAAATTCTGACAGAATGTGTTCATACAGAGATTCCTGAAATCAATAAACAAAACAAAATTTATCATGCAAGTAGATTTCAAAAACACGGATAGGAAGAAATGAGTGAGGTTGATTAATTAAACCGTTAATCAATTTGTGTTAATCCTTCACTGAAACTTACAACATGATTATTTTATAAAAGTCTCCAGAATTACTAGTTTAAGTATTATCAAGTAGAAGTATGAATAAAAAAAAACTTAAAATTAATTACAACATTTTGTTCAAGTTTGAATACTTTTATTTAATTTCAACTAGTTAGGTTATTGCATCTATTAACCAGTTTGAGATTCAAAGTTGTAGCCCACAGAAATGTTCGATTATTTCAATACTTTTTTTTTCACTAGTCAAAATGTTATGTGGCTGGCCCCTAAGTTCACTTGTTGGCTCACTGAAAGACAGGCATTAAAAAGCTTTTCTCCAGTATGAAATAATATTAACATTTGTTTTAGATAAGCAACTAAATTCAAATCTTGAAAAACCACATTCACAATAACACTATGCCAAATTCACTGGAGATTTTAACTTCACACTTCTCAGTAAATATTTTTTAAACAAAATATTTCTCTTCTATGTTTAATTATGGGTTAATAACGCTCAAGAATTACTTGTTCTGGTATTAATGAGAGTTAGCATCTAAAATAATCATGATGTTTTTTTCAAAAAAAGAGGTTTTAGTTGACAAGTAATGATTCATGTTGGTTAATGTAATGAGCTTAACACAGCTACAGTGGTTTGGAGATAATGTTTCAAAAGCAGTCGGATATATTATCTATGAGCCACCAGGTAGATGATGCTTGTTAATTAAGTCAAAATGAAGCCCGATTATATTTTGGCATGAAAAGAAATTATAATAAGTAAATCCAAAGTTTTACAAACCTCCTCTTCTTCAATTTTCCCGGCAGATAAGATTTCTTTGGCTCTTTTGTACAAAAGATGAGGGTGGTTACATAGTTTCCTTAATGCAGAAATACACACCAGATGACTAGAGTCTTCTGCTCTGCCTCGAAAGGATAAGCATCTTTGCAACACTCTTGATGTTAAAATTTGTTGATACAAGGCGAGCTGAAGTTTCGTTGGTTGACAAAAAATAACATATTCCACTGTAAAAACCGCACATGAAAAAATGTAAAGATACAACAGCTTCTGGCAAAAAGGAGTACAACAGTTTCATGACAGATATTTCCTCATATGATAATGTCTTCAAATTAATCGGCAAGTTAAACAAAACAGGCATTATTTACTATTTTAATGTTATTTAAATATTCTCTCGAAACTAGTATCTCATAGTTTGGGCAATTGATGAAAATTTTCAGCTATTGATGATGCGGCACAAAACGACAAATTGATAAAAAAAAAACATATGTAGTATGCATGTTTTACTTTTACTATGTCCATATTGATGCTACAAGAAAAAAGTGAAAGATAAAACTATATCAGTTAATACGACACAAGATCAATTTATACTACTGTGATCAACCATCATCATGATTTAAAAAATTCAAAGCTGGATTTTACAGAGAAAATATACCCCAAGAAGCTGAAAACCCTACAAGTAGGTAAGTCACAAGAACTTGTCACATTTTAAATTATTCTCTGTAAAAGTCACAAGAACTTGTCACATTTTAAATTATTCTCTGGTAAGTCACAAGAACTTGTCACATTTTAAATTATTCTCTGGTAAGTCACAAGAACTTGTCACATTTTATATTATTCTCTGGTAAGTCACAAGAACTTGTCACATTTTAAATTATTCTCTGGTAAGTCACAAGAACTTGTCACATTTTAAATTATTCTCTGTAAAAGTCACAAGAACTTGTCACATTTTATATTATTATTTGGTAAGTTACAAGAACTTGTCACATTTTATATTATTCTTTAAACCTCATGACAAAAATGTATAAAAAAGTAAAAGAAAATGAAGACTGAAAGCACATAAGGGCAATAGGAAAATTTATGTTAAGAGAAAAGAAAAAACATTCTGTTTTATAGGTACTCCTGATGTTTACGTCTTTTGTTTTATGCAACTACATAAAAATTAGAGAGCTTGTGTTGGAAGAAGGTAATTACATTCAAGTTTGTTCTGGTTTAATGATAGCTCTGAATACCACTAAATAAGTTCATTTACTTCAGCTACAGAGAAGTATAACTTAAGCTGTGGTATAGCTTATATTTATTTAAGATACAAATAACGAACACTACACAGTTACGGAACTGGATATATTACAAACTTGCTATCATGCATTTTTAGTAGAAGCCCTTGTTAATTGAGTAAGAGATAAAGTCTTGTTTGGAAACTAGCAAACACATTTTTTGGTAAAAACTAAGGAATATTAAAAAGCAGTTAATTACATTAAAAAAATAATGTATAAACTGATACCTTTTCGAGGCAAGTATTTATTAATAACTTCTTGAGTTCTACGAAGAACAAAGAGACTGGTAAGATGAGACAACTCAGCAGCTCTGGCCTCACCAACAAATTTTTCTTCAGAGGAAGCACTCGGCTGGTTAGACCTGATTATAGGATCTTCAAAGAGCCGACGAAACGATGCAGGAGTACCTGCAAGATACCAGCACAGCATGAAAACTATTCTATTATAAAATAATACTGTATATATATTGCTTAATATTTACAAAATAGGTGAGAAAAAAAAAAGAGCCATTACCCATAAGCAATTTGTGAAAGCTTATAACCACTAATAATAATATAAAAAAAATATATATATATCTTTTTTAACAGTTTCTGAATTACAACTATGATAGTAAATAAAGAAAAAATAAAGAACTAAAGATAAAGACACCTTTAACTAAAGATAAAGATAAGGACTCCAGGATTACAGAACTCTACCAGATACTCAATGTTCCTGAATTATAGTACTTTACTAACCAAGGACTCCAGGATTACAGAACTCTACCAGATACTCAATGTTCCTAGTCCTTGGTTAGTGAAGTACTATAATTCGAGTATCTGGTAGAGTTCTGTAATCCTGGAGTACTTGGTTAGTGAAGTACTATAATTCTGGAATATCAAGTATCTGGTAGAGTTCTGTAATCCTGGAGTCCTTGGTTAGTAAAGTACTATAATTCAGGAACATTGAGTATCTGGTACAGTTCTGTAATCCTGGAGTCCTTGGTTAGTAAAGTACTATAATTCAGGAACATTATTACAGAACTCTACCAGATATTCAATATTCCAGAATTATAGTACTTTACTAACCAAGGACTCCAGGATTACAGAACTCTACCAGATACTCGATATTCCAGAATTATAGTACTTCACTAACCAAGGACTCCAGGATTACAGAACTCTACCAGATACTCGATATTCCAGAATTATAGTACTTTACTAACCAAGGACTCCAGGATTACAGAACTCTACCAGATACTCAGTATTCCAGAATTATAGTACTTTACTAACCAAGGACTCCAGGATTACAGAACTCTACCAGATACTCAGTATTCCAGAATTATAGTACTTCACTAACCAATGACTCCAGGATTACAGAACTCTACCAGATACTCAGTATTCCAGAATTATAGTACTTCACTAACCAAGGACTCCAGGATTACAGAACTCTACCAGATACTTGATATTCCAGAATTATAGTACTTCACTAACCAAGTACTCCAGGATTACAGAACTCTACCAGATACTTGATATTCCAGAATTATAGTACTTTACTAACCAAGGACTCCAGGATTACAGAACTCTACCAGTGAGAAAAACTCTTGAAGGTCATTCTGAACAGGAGTTCCTGTGAGAAGAACTCTTCGTTTGACAGGCTGGTTGTTGATAACCTAAGAAACAGAAAACACAATAGTGGTTAAATAGGCGTTTTTTTGTACATCAATAAATTTTCAAAATAAGTAACTTAGTGGTTAAATTTTCTTAGTATTATTTCAAAGTAATATTGTCACATTTGTTTCTGTACACATCCTTCTAGTTTACATAAAAACCTTGTATATATGTGTGTGTGTTAAATAAGCTTTTCAAAAGTACATTAAAACCATATTTCCTGGAAGAGAATTTCTTTCCATATATGATAGTACTGCTAAACAACTGGAACTGTATTATAAAAACCTTAGATAAAGCATTAAAATCTGTACAGATATACTTTTCACAGGTTGGAAATAATACAGGAAATGCCATTTTCAGTTCTGAACTGCTAAAAAAAAACGTCTGAACACAGACAGCATGGAACAATCGATGAACTATGACTGAATTATTAATGGACTATGGCTGAATTATTAATGGACTATGACTGAATTATTAATGTACTATGTCTGAATTATTAATGGAAAATGGCTGAATTATTAATGGACTATGTCTGAATTATTACTAGAAAATGACTGAATTATTAATGGACTATGAATGAATTATTAATGTATTATGTCTGAATTATTAATGGACTATGTCTGAATTATTAATGTACTATGTCTGAATTATTAATGTACTATGTCTGAATTATTAATGGACTATGTCAGAATTATTAATGGACTATGACTGAATTATTAATGGAATATGGCTGAATTATTAATGTACTATGTCGGAATTATTAATGTACTATGTCTGAATTATTAATGGAAAATGGCTGAATTATTAATGGAATATGTCGGAATTATTAATGTACTATGACTGAATTATTAATGGACAATGGCTGAATTATTAATGGACTATGACTGAATTATTAATGGAAAATGACTGAATTATTAATGGAATATGGCTGAATTTTTAATGGAATGTGGCTGAATTATTAATGGACTATGACCAAATTTTTTTATTGAGGACTAGGATAACATCAATTTTTATACTTTACAAAACCTGTATAGGAATCTGACATCCACTATTGTCTAAGCTCAGGACTGTTAGATGAAATGAGTACTTACATTTGTAGTTTTTATCCCTGTGTTTTTCAGTCTATGTCCTTCATCACATATTAACAGATCAAAACTCACTTGACCCAAGATATCATGGTGTCGTACATACATTTCATAAGATATTACTAGGACAGCATGTAACGGAGAACGAATAAAGTCCTGTAAGATATACATTAAAAATATATCCACATTATTTCTGGATCTGTTTAAATAAAAATCTTTATATGAGTAAATTACTTTGAATGTCACAACTGATATGCAGTAACAGGTGAGTAGTTCTTTCAGTTGAACTCAACATTAAACACAAATCATATGTTCCAAAATTTTTTATTTTAGTATTTAAATCCAAAGTCATGTAAAAAAATAAAACAAAACAGTTAATTTAATGCTTTAGAGGAAAAATAAAGTAAATTCTTATTATTGTATGCAAATCAGCCTAAAAAAAAGAAAGGAAATATTAAAAACTGAATAACACAAATAAGACATACAAAAGTGCAAACTTGGAAATATTTTATACATTTAGAGTACATACCTGTATCTAAGTAAATATTCTACACGTTTAGAGTACATACCTGTATCTAAGTAAATATTCTATACATTTAGAGTACACACCTGTATTTAAGTAAATATTCTATACATTTAGAGTACACACCTGTATCTAAGTAAATATTCTATACATTTAGAGTACACACCTGTATTTAAGTAAATATTCTATACATTTAGAGTACACACCTGTATCTAAGTAAATATTCTATACATTTAGAGTACATACCTATATCTAAGGCTTATCATGTTAAAAATCTGGTTTTGATAACCTTCAGTTGGCACAGCACAGATGGCCAATTGTGTAGCTTTGTGCTTAACAAACAAACAATCTAAAACATATAGCATTACAGTACAATTTTTACAGAGAATCTTGAATCTGAAAACTGTTATAAAAAATAAATTCTAAGAAGCTGATTATTCCTTATATACTTTTTGAACAAATCTTTCAAAAGTTGTTCAAAGTATACCTAGGATACTCAGTAAACAATATTTAACACACACAAGAACGGAACAGGACAGTATAATGAAAGCGGATGAGCAGAGAGAGAAGAACCACTCAGTTGTTTAAAATATACGTTTCAATCACAGAAAAGCAATCAAAATTTCACTTAAGTATTGAATAAGTGGGTTAGATTTTAAGTTCTTTTCACCTTTATACAACAAATAATAGTGGCTCCTTGGTAAGTAAGCTTCTGGGTTTATAAAACTAAACTTTTGGGTTCGATAGTGCAGATAGCTGACTGCATAGTTTTTACATTGAAAAATACAAACATTTATACCCCTAAAATATAGAACAAAAAACAAATATATGAACCAGTGTGTTCCCTTACTTGAACTTTGTTATACTGGTCGACAGCAAATACAGACAGCCTGTCTTTTCCAAGCCATTTCCTGAATTCCTTTACCCAGTTCTGCAAATTACCAATTTTTATAGATATAATGTTGGTATTAAGTATTTACTACACTCTACCTGTTATCATAAACCATAAATAATAATAATTTACTTTTACATATGGAATAAATTAACACTGAATATCCAATTATTTCACACTCGCATATGTACGTAGAGTAAAAAAAAGAGTAAATCTGATTGGTTGATTATGTCATAGAAACAAATGCAGCATTTTCAACGTACCTTTCAATATACAGGTTGGAAACCTTACAGCATGGGTGGGATTTGGGCCCAAAATGTGGTACCTTTCAATATACAGGTTGGAAACCTTACAGCATGGGTGGGATTTGGGTCCAAAATGTGGTACCTTTCAATATACAGGTTGGAAACCTTACAGCATGGGTGGGATTTGGGCCCAAAATGTGTGTGTGCGGAGAGACACTATTCCCACCTTACCCTCTGTAATCCTACCTATGCCCTAAATATGGCTTGAGATCTAGTAAGTATGGTGGTCTTGAACATCTATGCTAGTGTTTTGCCATAAATGTAAGCTGTTAAACATTGTACTACCTTTTCCACTAGTTACCATAATAACTCTCAAGAAATGTACCATGATAACAGTATATAATTGAAGCTCATATTTTACTTAGTGTTCTACACAATGCTTAAAAAACATGAGGTAATCCACCAATAGCTGCGTAACTTGAAATACTTTTAGGCAAGATTAGAGTAAATTGATCTACAAGACGTTTTTTTTTCCTGTTTATTAGCTACGTTTTTGTGCACCAGCAATACCAACTGTGGGGTGTGCATATACCCGATTTAATAGTTTTGGACTCAGGAGGTCAAACCCTTTTGATTGATGTATTTGACCATGCCCAAGGTCTCGTAGATTTATTTATTCTAATCCTGCCTAAAAGAATTTCAGTTCGAGTGTAGGTTGGTAGAGATCCTTATGAGTAATAACGTAACTTGATCTCAAATCGATCAAGAGATGACAGAGCTATGTGCTAAAAGTTTGTACTTGAAACATAAAAACAAATACATTCACAGCCATTCTATGAGCCGCTGTGTCGCAGCTAAAAATGTGCACACCTTGTGGTTTGTTTTTCACACCATATGCTTTTGTATGGTTTGTTCCTCACACCTTGTGCTTTTGTATGGTTTGTCCCTCACACCTTGTGTGGTTTGTTCTTTGGTTTATTTAACAATTAAACTATTAAGCTATTTTTTTCCCTCTAGTATTGTAACCTGCTTATTCATGAACAGTTTTGTCAGAATCAATTGATGGGTGCACATGTGGACATGAAATTGCTACACACTTCATGATAGAATACTGTGGATGACTTCCCGATGACAGCTGGTATAAAATTTCAAAGCCTTGTTTGACATATAAGTAATGTTTTTAACATTATACATTTAAATGCATTTATAAGATTACTACGGAAGCATTCATTGGCTTGATAACAATAAAAAACTTATAAACAGCATAAATTAGTACAAAAATCTAGAGAAATTAGTTTAAAGTTTCATTTTATAAAGAATAGAAATCTATACAAATATACAGAAACAAGATGGTAAGGAACTGGAAAGGATTTCAGAATTAACTCAGTTAGTATTAAGCAAAGCACTGAGTAATTCTTAAACGAACATAGACTTACTTTAATCAAACTACTTGGTGTGACAATCAGTGCCTTTTTCAAAACAGGACGTCCACCATAGGGTCCTTGTTTGTACATTGTCCTGTAAAATATAGTAATCTCTATCAAAACAAACCATACACACACAATAAAACAAAACACTTTGTCTCAATACAGAATATTTTTTAAACATTCAAATACATTTCACCCAAAATTTCTTTTCCAAATGATTTAAATAACTTAAACTTACCAAATCAATGTAATGCACTGTAAGGTCTTTCCCAGGCCCATCTCATCCCTGCAATGATATAATTTAAATGTATGAAAAATTATATATCATAGAATTTGAAGTTAAGGTTATCACCTCGTGTAGTATTAACACCATACTGTAGCCAAGTTTAGCTGTTTCCCAAACTGTGGTACACATACCCCCTGTTGTACACAGTTGATTACTGGGGAGGAGGATATGTGAATATAATTTATTTATAAATAAAGGAAAATACATTAATAATGACAAAAATTATAGCATACGGTTACGATGAGGAGTTATGAAAACTTTTATAAATCTGAAAATAGGGGTCTGATTGAAGAAAGTTTGGGAGCCACTGCATTAGACAAACAAAATCGTAACATTGAGTGAAAAGAAAATTATAATTTGGGAATTAATAAGGTTCTAAAAGTGATCTATTAAAAAAAAAAAAATTACATACACCAAAATGGACAAACTGGCTTAAAGGTATCACACTATACTTTTAAACCTATGAATGTGTACAGGGAGAGAAATAATGAAATAAAATTCCATTCACTCAAGGGAAAGCTATCAGGAAGATTACATTTCCTTATGTAAAGTTGCATTTGTTTTTTTTTATTTAATCCATGTAATATTTTCATTGGTCGTAACTAAAGGAATATGGATGAACCATGCATTCCTGATCGGGAAAGCGAACTAAAAAGATGAAATTTCTCAAGCAAAGTTAAATTCTTTGAGAATGTAATATTTCAATAACTGGTGTAACTTATGAAATAAAACATATAAAGTGAAACCTGGTCCGAATAAATTCAAATGAGAAACTCGAAGTTAAAACAAAGTTTACTGGTCATTCAGGACTTAAAAATGAAGCCAAGATCACACTGAACAGGTGTCAACTATACAAAGTAATAAACAGAAATTGGTCAAGACTGACAGAACTTAATCATTGTAAGTAAGTAATGGCCATCTATTTGAAGTGTAATTTTCTTCAAGTTATATCTGTGAGGTGGGCACAACACTGTGTAGTTTTGCACTAAAAAATACATAAATAAAATGATATACTCATAAACTTACCAGTAAGATATGGCAATCAAAATGAATCGTATAAATACTGTTCCAAAACATATTATTTGATAAATGTTTAAACAAATATTCCAGGAAATTTATTGCAATCTTAAATATATTAAAAAACTTAAAGTTACGCAAATAAACGTACTAAGCTAGCAGATGTTGTAATTATTGGCTGTGGTTATAAGGGATATCAGATTTTAACTTAATGCCTATTAAGAAAGTCTGAATTAACCTGGATGACTCATGAATGAATACAAATGTAACAATGACCTGAATAATCCAGTTGTCATATTACACTACTCTCTGACTGCTTCATTATTAAGCCTGAATGTGTTGCACCTGTAAAAACCTGGAAGCACTAAGTGTTCTGTATGGACTGTTGGTATATTTCACCAAGGAAAATGAGGGTGTTAATGCTACATATGGAAATATTTCACAATGGAGCAAGTAACAAGCTTAGATACATGTTTACATCACACACACATTTCAAATACACATATGAGAAATGAAAGCAGTAGATCTATCAAAAAGATACATACGGAAATGTGAAAGCTTTTTCTAAATTTATCACTTAAACATTTTATTCCTCCATTTTGTAAATAAACATCTGGAAGATAGGTCTGAGCAAACTCAGCTAAATGAAATGTTTTATAATTACGAGTTCAGACATTAGTGAAGCAATCAGAAGACAGAGGAATACGATGACTGCATTATTCGATTTATTGTAACAATTGATGTATGTCTTTTCTTTTCTTGGAAAATTACCCAACTTACGCAAGAATGGCTCCTTGTCCACTAAAGTCTCTCATTCCCATGATGCACTCGTACAGAAAGACAACACCCTCCCTCTGGTGAGGCCTCAGATGAGCTGTTAGTATAGGATCCACGACTACATCTACAACATGTAAATTTCCCTTGTTGAATTGCCACTGCAGATAAAAAATATGCAAGTTGATGGGATTAATTACAGAAAAATATTTGATTTAGCTATATTATAGATGTTGTTTAGGGGAAAAAAAATAAAGGTAAGAAAACAATAGTGCACCATATATATACCATATTTCAGTTTGATTACTGTGATGTTTTTTGTATGGTAACTGGAGACTGTCCAATGGTGTACACGGATTATTTTTTTTTAAGATTTTTTACCCAAGAAGAGGGGTAAAATACACCCTGAAATAGGGCACATTTCAACTTTTTTTTAAGACTTTTGGCTTTGAATTTAAAGAACAAGTACTTATAGTAAATCTGCATTTAAATCTATCAACTTGTTGAAAAAAAGCTCCGGAAGGATGAAAATAATAAAAAAAGCTGTTCCGTTATCTTCACATTAAAACTTAATGGTTTGGTTTTATAATTTCTGAGGACATTATTCAATTCTGTTTTTTGTTTGGTTTGTCTCGAATTTCGCACAAAGTTACATGAGGGCAATCTGCACTATCCATCCCAAATTTAGGAGTGAGAGGCTAGGGAGAAGGCAGCTAGTGATCACCACACATCGCCAACTCTTGAACTACTTTTTATCAATGAATAATGGGATTGACCATCACATTATTATGTCCCCTTGCTGAAAGGATGAGCATGTTTGGTTGGATGGGGATTCAAACCCGTGACCTGCAGATTGCGAGTTGAGCTCCCTAACCTCCTGGCCATGCCAGGCCTTAAAACTTAAGAGTATAAAAGTCACTCACTAGGGGCACGTCACCCCTTTATTGTGTGAAAAATTAACTATTAATAGTTTACACTGTGACTGGTTGTCATGTAATCAATCTGAAAATACCACGTTAGTATGAAGCCTGTAAAAGTACAAGTTATTATACTATGCCAAATAGTAGTAGTATGCATCCACTGATGGTCCCCAGGATGGTCAAGGACACTACGTGTGTATATTTACACCAAGATTCTGAAACAAATAGGTGAAACTGGCAACGTTTGTGATTGTAGTGGTTGAGGTAGAAAACTAAAACTCTTCAAACGCAATGTTAAATCTTGCTAATGTCGTTGCCATAAATGTGGGGGTGATTGTTACTCCAAGAACAGCAAAATACATAATAATATGAAGTGTAACTCCTAGGAAACCAATGACAAGAAGAAGTAATCAAACCAATACAGGCATCGACTACAATTTGTTCAATGGAAGAGAAAAGTATAATAATTAATGTGCAAATCTACAGTAAAGTATGGTGGAGGATCAGTACAGGTTTGAGGCTACCTCTCAGCCAATGGTGTTGATGATTCACACAAAATTGATGGCACCCTGAATGTTGAAAAGTACTGGTAGATTCTGATCCATCATGTTGTCCCTCAGGAAAACAATTCATTTGGCAGGGATACATCTTCCAGCAAGACAATGGCCACAAGTATATAGGAAATATGGTGATTGATTGGCTGATGAAATTAACATTCACAGCTGTGTGTAACAGGTGAGCCAGAGAGGGCTAGTCATTGGGATTGACTTTCTCACAAGATACAAATAATTTATTTAAAAATACAGGAAGACAGTCGAGTGTGTAGCAGAGTGAGCATGCAAGCCACCAACCAGAGGTATTTACGTTTGGAACAAAGAAACTGAAGAGGAGTCTGGTAGTACAACAAATAATACATCATTCAATCTCCATATCCAAATATTCATTGACGTAATTGCTCATTAATTAAGCCTTCTTTTAGATTCCTTAATTCTGACACTAGAGTGAACAAATTATCCAATAAACTATTGATTGAAATATGTTCAGACATAGTTCAATTTAGACATCTTGCTTAAAACTTATACCAGCTTTGTAGTTTCCATCAACATCACAGTATTTCACACAGGGAACATCATATGCTACACATTGTTAGACTAGAGAGAGGGTAATATTCAATACCTACAGAGAGTTTGTCTGCTGAAAGTGGTGAGGTGGTTGTAAAATGGCCATCTTCTTCTAACTAGAATGAAGTAGTCTGGTTTCTCGATTCTTTGTAGAGAACTGGTGCAAATTTATCTGACCACAGGAAACACCGAGGACAACTCATACAGGTTTGACTGCCCTCATAAAATGCTAGAGAGAATTAACTTTAGGCCCAAAAACGTGAGGTTTTATATGTTTATCTTCGTATTCTTATGACACCTCAAATAACTCTTTATGTCTACTCTACAAGTAGGTCCTTCATCTAATTGGTTTAATTTTGTTGATTCTTTGAGCCAAAACTGGACATTGCATGTATATCTCTTTCTTCTTTTTAATTAATTCACTTCTTTAGTTAGTACAAGCGACATAAACTTTTCTGTAGCCTTCCTCTCTACTACGATCGCATCTAATTATAGAGACAAGACGAACCACTGTTATTTACTTATGATGTTGCAATTGGTAATGCATCTCAGTCAAACTTTAACAAAAACATTCCCTTATTTGGATAATAATCTGTACAAAACATCTGTTATATGCTTTTTAATCTGCAGATCCTTTCTGCAACTGCCTTGTATGTATGACATACATAGAAAAGCCAATTTTCTCCTACTAGAAGCATTTGTAGTTTCGATAAAATGCCTCAAATACTTCAGTGACTTAGCCTACATAAAGTTAAAAAATTACCTAACAACTTTGCTGAATTGTGAAGATTAATACAGGACCTTTGGAACAATATTCCACAATAGTACAATGACAAACATAATATTTATGGACAACAAGCAACCTTTTGGTCCAGTTAGGCTGTTCCATCCATAATTAAACCTTAAAATAAAACATTCAAAGCCAGCTCTTATCATTCAAATATATATCAAGTCTTCCCTTAAAGTAAAAATAGAGTTGTCTTAGCTGAAGATAACTCCTATCCTGCCAAAATATATATTTGTGTCCCATAGTCCTACCATTCTCACCATTAAGTATGAAAAATGATGGTGCATCAACACTATCAATTCACTTTACGATCTTACAGTCTTAAATTAGCTCCTCCTCTAAATCTTTTTTTTTTTTCACGAGAAAACAAGTTTGGAAATCGTAATCTGTCCCCATATGACAACCTTTCCATCGTAAAATATCATCCAAGTAACCCTTCTCTGAGCCCTTTCCAACAATTCAATGTCCTTTCTAAGGTATGGAGACTGAACACCAAATGTGGCCTAACCAGTGACCTATTCAATGAAATTATAACCTCTTTAGACTTGTATTGCCACTGCTTGGACGGCTTAATCAACCATAATACTAAGATCCTTTTCTCCCATAACACTTATAATTTAAATTATGATAACCCATGTTCATTATCTTTCATTTATTATAATTAAAGGCCATCTGCCATTTATTCACCAAACAATCCAAATCTTTTTGTAAGACAATAGCATCCTCCTCACAGCCAGCAACACCAAAAACTTTATTATCATCAGCCAGTTTGAATAATTTGTTGAATATTCTTTCATCTATGTCACTGATGTAAATTTTAAAAGAGCAAAAGTCCTAACACTGAGCCCCAAGGGAAAACACTTGTTTTCTTAATCCAGTTTGACTGAACTCCATTTATAACAACCTTCTGCTTTCTTCCATCCAGCCACTATCCATATATTCAGTCAAAGCCAGTTGTAAAATTAGGCTGTATATATATATATATATACATATTTTATCTTTAATTTGAGAGAAAGGATAATCTTACAGTTTCTTTTGGTCTATGTTTTAATGGTTCAATCAGTTTTCGAAAAAAAAATTAAATAGCATAACTTTAATATACTTATTTTTGGGTTTTGTTGATACAAACACTTAAATATTCGATGACGAGGAACCCACTTTGAGACTAATAATGGCTGGAGACGGCTTGAATGGGTAATGAAGAAA